CTTAACGTTTCTTGCTATCCTTTGTATCTCGCTATTCTTTCCTTTGTTGTTCCGTTGTTTGTTATACCCTCCCAGTGATCATGTCAATATTCATTGCGGTGTTCCACCATATCTGCTCTCCTCTTTGATATATTTTTCTAGCTGTACTCTTATCTTGCTATCGCATCCTTTTTTTACTGTATTAAAATGTCTCCGGTTGTTTCCGTTTTGTAGTCTAGTAGTATTTTGTTATAGTCTCGTTATTGCACTGTATTCAACTGTGAATCCCTCGCAGTATTCTTTATATTAACCAATCCACGTCGCCTATAGTATGAACGTTGAACATCAGGACGTCTTTTCGGTTATTATCTGTACAAAGCAAATAAGTAATTCAGAGGCCAAAGTATGAATGGCGTGTTTGTCAAGTGCTACACGTCTGTATGTACAGTGGGAGCAGGTGTGGGCGGCAACTACCTGGAAATAGACATTTACAATGGCACAACAGCAAAACCTAGATATAAAAGGTTTATAAACTCTGAGGCCTTACTAGCGAAGGGAATTTTTCTCGATTTGATTTAAAAAAAGCATTTATAGAATATTGATGTAAAAAAAGAAAAAAAAACGTATATAAATATTATATATGTAGAATAGAAAACCAATTTTTGACATTTTGGACGTTTTGGCAACGGGAGTTGGTGATGTTAAAAACTATCAAAATGATTTTCTTTTCTTTATACTATTATTACCTTAACAATCTTTATGTTCTTAATGGATATTTGTATAAATTCTCACAATTTGAATATCAGTTGATTTATAACATCCCACAGTGAATCATGCATATTTTGCTACATCTCTTGTTGCTATCGATCTAACTATGACGCAGTAACAAGTTGTTCAAAACATGAATTATCCATCCGTAAAGACATAGATGAAGCGATCTTGTAGTTTTAAACAAGTTTGTTAGAGAAACCGCCGATGCAAATTTTTAAACGAAATTCGGTGGGTAATATGCATCGATGAATCATACCTATGCGAAAAAGTACTTTTTTAAAATTATATGAAGAAATAATTATTATTAGTGAACATACAAAAATATACAAAAAGTACTGATAAAGCATATCAAAAAATGCATCCACAAATCGGCTCTCCATGTCAACCTTTTGAAAATCGCTGTATGTGTTTATGATATAGCGTTATCGGCCATCTACCAACTGAATAAACATTTGATCAACACCTTAATTACTCCAGTTTGACATTCTAGAAAATTCCATCTTTTTTAAGTGGATTTTAAAGCAGTAACTAGAGTRCAAAACCTTTTTATTTTGCTACTTGTATTTGTCATAAATAGGCAACCCAGGCTGTTTGTTTACAAGAATTATCATTCTTTCTTTTTGAAGTAAAACAAGGTAAAATAGAAAATGTATAATTACTGAATAATTGAATATACATTTAAAAGAAAAAATAGGCTTTGCAATCCTTAGTTTTTCTGGAAATATAGCAATCAATCGGTTGTGTTTTTGCACTTGTTATATATCATTAAACCTCGTTAACGCTTTGACCGGATGGCTCTTTATCCCTCAAAAACAAACTAATTTAGCTTAAAGTACTTTGTGAATTACTTACCAATAGCTGTGGTATAGAATCGATACATACAGACTTAGAATACAGTCATTTAACGGCGTTTTACTTGTCAWTATGTTGTATTTTAGATGTTTGCAGGTAGTTTGCCAACGTCACAATAAAGAGTTAGATTCAAATCATTACAATCCATTTATTTTTCGTCGAAAAGACATTTTGTTTACCTTAAATATCCGGCTAGAGGTCTAACTTGTGAGATCTCTCCTACAGATAGCTTCATTATACTCGTTATTACCCTGGTTTACTTAGGAAGCCGGTGATAAAAGCCCACAGGTTGTGAAGTCAATTTGCAAAAGCTAGGAATAATTAACAAGTTTGGTGTYTTCGTAAACAATGCGCTTTTTCAAGTCAATTGTCGGTGTAATCCGGTCTACATGAGTTTTTGTTTAATTGATAGACTCTTTTCTTCTTTTTACTTTAGTAATGAAGTCATTTGTTGAAGAGATTAATATCATATTTGTTTGTTACTTCTCGATTTTTTTCTGTTTCACGCAGAGCTCAAATGCTTGGAAACGCTCTACCAAAACACGTGGACGCAAAAAGTTTTAAATCCACAGAAAAAAAGCTGAAAAATACAGAAAAATGCATTCATTTGCTTATAAATTCCTTTCACTC